GCCTGTCTAATAAGTCCTATACCAAATCAAAGATAAAGAATATTTTAGGTGGCCACCTAAGATCATAGGAGATCAATCAAAGTGGAACCAAAACCTCCATTGTTCTTATCACAAGGACAAAGGCCATAGAATGGAGAATTGTTGGGCACTCATGCTCCACCTAGAAGATTTGGTCAAGCAAGGCCACCTCTCTTGGTATATTGAAAAGGAAAATAATGCCAAGGAGTAGGAAGAGCAAGGAATTCAATCAGTTGACTAACTAGATAAATAAGTTTTACTTTTAGCTTAGTCAATAACATCTTATTATTTCAATAAGTCTTCAAAGTCATTTTTTCTCATTCTCATTGATTAGTAAAGATAAGTTTATTTTTCACAACTCTAAGTGTTCCTCTATTTGTGATTATTGCAAACTCTATGGTTGCACCTACAACCAACCTCCTTTGTTGCACCTCAAGCCAACCTCCATGGTTATACCTCAAGCCAACCTCTATGGTTTTACCTCAAGCGAACCTTCGTGTTTGTACCTCAAGACTACTTCGCTTCTAGCTCACTTTTGTGGTTTCACCTCAAACCAACCTTCATGATTGCACCTCAAGGCTACTTATCCTCCATACAACCTCTGCGGTTGCCCTTCAAGCTACTTCACCTCCATACAACCTCCACGATTTTCTTTTAGACTACTTGGCCTCCATACGACCTCTAAGGTTGCCCTTCAAGGTTACTTAGCCTCCATGCAACCTCCACGGTTGCCTTTCTTACTACTCTATCCAGTGCCAATTGTGTAAGGATAATTTCGCACAAAGGGTTATAAGTCTTTTCAATATTTTTGTTTATGCTGTTTGCAAACTATTTTTGAGAGTGGGTGTTAGTGTAAATTACGATATTTGTGGGGTCTGTGTGTATTAATGACAAACCTGAAGGAGTTTGAATATAATTTACCCTTAATAATAGTTTTATATCTTAACAAAATAAATATAAATATGTCAACATTACAATCAATCTAGACATTATGTCTCGAAGAATAAACATCCAAAAAGGACATAGAGAGAACTTATATAGAGGGACTAAGTATTGCTCATGCCTGAAAGCACATAGTAATAAAACAAATTGTCAATAATAAAAATATTTGTATTCACACCCAAAATTAACAAACATAAAGAAGAGAGAAAAGAATTTAAGCATTGGTTATAATGGAGGTGAGCAGTGATAGTGGTGGTGAGTGGTAATGGTGGTGAGCGGCAGTGGTGGTGGTGGGAGACTATAATGATTGTGGTGGGTGACGAAAATCGTGGTGAATGTGGCAATTGTGGGTGGCAACGGTGATAATGATTGTGGGTTTTGGGTGACGATGGTGGTAGCGACAGCCATGGGTGACAGCAGTGATAATGGTTGGTTGTGGTGGTGGTGGGGTGATAATAGTGGTGGTGGGTGATAATAGTGGTGGTGTGGGCAGTGGGTTGTGGTGATGAGCGGTGACGATGGCGGTGATGAGCGACGACGAGTGCTTTTGGGCGACAATGTGATGGGTGGTGGCGAATGACGTTTGTTGTGATAGTGGTGGTGGTAGGGATGGTGGGGGTGGGTGATAGTAGCTGGCGACGATGGTGGGCGATGGGTGGTAGTAGATGGTGGTGGACAACAATGGTGATGAGTGGATGCTAACGGTGGCATCGGTGGTAATGGGATGATGGTGGTAATAGTAATAAATATAAGATAAAAGATGACGATAGTGGTGGGTGATGGGTGGTGGTGGTGGATGACGGTAGTAACAATCGGTAGTGGGTGGCGATGTTGGGGGTGGTGGTTGGGGTGGCGATGGCGGCGGCGGTGGTGGTACTAGTGGTGATGGTCGTAGGGGTGGGGGTGGGGTTGGGGTTGGGGTGGACAGTAGGAGTGACGGTGGTAGGGATGATGGTAGGACAATAGCAGTGGTGGTAGGATGACGGCAACGGTGATGGTGGTAGTGGTAGGGTGGTGGCAGTGGTTGTGGGGGTGGTGGTGGTGGTGATATTGGTGATGGTGGTGGGGGTAGTGGGGCGATGTGGGTGGCAGTGGCGGTAATGGTAGTGGTAGTGGTGATGGTGATGGTGGTGGGGGCCGATGGGTGTGGTGGTGGTGGTGGGATGACAGTAATGGTGGTGGTGATTGTTGTGGCAAAGGTGGTGGCAGTGGTGGTGGTGTTGATGGTGGTGGGGGTGGGGGGGGTGTAGTCATGGTGGTAGGGTAGCGGTGGTGGTGGTAGTGAGACGATTTCAAACACTATTTTTTTAAAAGGTTTTATGAGAAGTTATAAGTTTTAGAAGCACTTTTAAAAAATCAACTCAAATACACACTTAGGGGCCTATTTTCCCTATTAAATTTGGAGTGTTAATATTAGTCGTCAGATTAACTTTAAAGTAAAATTTAAAGAAATCTCAACCACGAAAAGTAAAAGTTATTTTATTTATCTTTTGAAATTTGAATTGTATTGTACTTTATTACATAGATAGAAGAAAGAACACTCAAAGAGGGTCATGAATGTGATCGTGGATTTTGGTGGTGAAAGATGAAGAACCAAAACCAAGTTGGGAGAGAGCGAGCTAGGACCGCCAAGGCCCAGGGGAGGTGGTGTTTGGGTAATTAAACTCTCCATTATCAATTTAATAATTTTAGTGAATTAGTTCAACATATTGCAAATAATTTAGGTCTAAATATTATTATTATTTGAAAAAGGGTGGGCAATTAATAGTAAAGAGGGGTACAATTATCATTTGGGTGGTGATTTGTTTATTAATCATATTTGAATTGTCTAACTTATTTAATCCAATATATCATTACTCCATTATTAATTGAGTCTACACTCAACCTACTAAAAATATTGGATAAATTATATTTACATTCCCTGAGATTTGTTACTATATCACACAGATCTTGTTAAGCAAGAAAAATTACATTAATATTCCCAGACAATGACAAAAAGCTAACAAACCAAAGGAAGACTATAAAACAACTATTATTCTCTTCAATAAAAAATGAACAAAATCAATCTCAACCCACCAACCCAAAACAAAATCTGAAACGAAACTCCAAATTTCAGACCCACTTTCTAATTAGGTGCCGATCACAAATTCCCTCCAAATTGTTGAAATATGTAGGGATAGCACTTTAGTCTAAAAATAGAAAAGGGTTATGTGCTTATTTTGAAACAACATGAAAGTAATGTGCTTAGATGACAAACCAAATGGAGGGTTAAAAGAAGTTTGTTCTAATTTATTCCCGCTTTCTTTTGAGGTATATCTCCACTTAATAACAAGTTAAGGGGCATGTCAAGTCCTCGAGCAAACAAAAGAGAGAAAGAGCAAAAAAAATCAAATGAGCAATCGAAAATCTTGCTTCTAATATGAATAGCATTACATAATATGCAGAAAATTGAATAATTATTATCACGTAACGAAGGAAGGTAATGTGAAATGCAAGACCAAACCAATGTCTTGTAAAATAGATAATTTCTTTTCTCAAAGGCATGGAGGGGTGATTAGCTAATAGCTAGCTTGTTGATTTCATTAGTATCCATCCTTGGGCCTTTTGCCATTTCAATAAAATAGTTATTAAAAAAATCATCTCTTTAAAACTTCCACGTTATTTCAAACCAATGACTTCAGTAATTTCTTTGTTCTAATTTTTTGTGTTGAATTCTAGCGTCTACGTGCATGAATACGACAATCATATATATGACATGCGTGTTGGCGTGTACATGCTGTTGTGTATCGTAGCTGGAAAATATGAGGTGGTAATTATTTTGCTTACAATTATTCTTATACTTAACGTTAGGAGATAGAGTTCAAAGATAATAAAGAGAAGGAAGACTTACACCTAGACCTCTTTAGATTTTTCATTTAATCACTCAAGTTTCTTGACATTTAAAATATTATATACAAAATTCTTGAGATTTGTACACGCGTAATACTTAGACTCCTGCCTTCAAATATCTATTAGTAAATTATAATCAAACTCTATGAAGTTTATAAGCATTTAATACTTAGACCCCCAAGTTTAAAATATTGTACATAGACCAAAAATACTCCAATTAACTATAGAATATCAAATATTTTAAATTTTAAATTTTAAAATTAAAATTCATGTTCTAGTGTATCATTTATGGAAATAAAATCAAAAATAGAAAACCAATTTTTTCTTTAAAAAACGTAATTAGTATATAATTATACTATCTATTGTAATAAAACTAAAAAATTAAACAATTTTACTATCAAAATTCATGTTTTATTATGTCATTTATTGAAATAAAATTAAAAATCAAAATTTAATTTTTCTTATAAAATCATAATTAGTATACAATTATATTATCTATTGGAATAAAACTAGAAAATTAAACAAGGGGTCAAACTGTAATAGACACAATATATTCTAATTTTAATTGGGGGTAATTTGGTCGTTTAAACGACCAAATTAAATTCTAATAGATAGTGTAATTGTATATTAATTATGATTTTTAAAGAAAAAAATTAGAGTTTTTTTTAAATTTTATTTCAATAAATGTCATAATAAAACATGAATTTTTGTTGTAAAATTTAAAATATTTGATATCTATCTTTAATTGGAGTATTTTTTGTTTAAGTATAACATTTTAAACTTAAGGGGTTTAAGTATTACATACCTATAAACTTTAGGAGGTCTGAATATAATTTACTTAACGGACATTGATGATAGGGGTCTAAATGTTACATGCATACAAATATCAAAGGGTATGTATGTAATATTTTAAATATCAAGGGACTTGAGTGATTAAGTCACAAACTTTAGGAGATAGTGAAATTCTCCCTAATGAGAAAAAACAAAGAACAAACGTATATACGTAGGTGGGTTGGAAAATCATATTTTCATTTGCTAATGAAAAGCCTAATATGTTACATCAGTGTAATAGTATCTAGGAATTGTAAACATGGAATAAAAATCAACTCTATTTACGGGGTCAAAAAATAATTACACAAAGATAAAGCGTATCATCTGGAAAGACAGTAAAATAACCTACCTGCATAAAGAGCTCGGATGGGATTTCCCTCAGGATTGTGAAAATGAAGAGATACCTTGCGATACACGGAGGAGTTGTTGAAGTTCTGAGCAGCTACTTTCATGGCTGTTTTCACTTCTTTGCCGATACGGGTACTATCGTCGATGATTGCCCCGATGCCCGTGGTTTCGGTCATTGCAGATGTGAAGGTCCAATGGTTGGAGAAAATGAGTAGAAGATAAATGAGTACAGTTGGGAAGAAAAATGTTGGTTTTGCAACTGTATTACCAAAAGTGACTAGGAAAGGCATTTTGGTTCTAAGCATAATCCCGACGATGATGGAACACTTTTTTCTCTTTATGGTATTTATAGGATCAAGAAAATCAATGTAGTTGTTGGCACATACATGCATACTTATATTCACAAGGCATGTACAAAAGCCATGCATGCATGAACCTGCTTAGAAATTTACATAGAAATGTTAAATCTAGTCAATTATATAAAAAATTATTTTACTTTGAACCATGTAATTAACCAGTCAAGCACTTCGACATGAGGCTTATGTACAATCAATATATTCTAATTGGTTGATCGCAAAAATTCTAAGAACATGACTTGTGTGATATAACTACGATTTTAGAACTGGGAAATTCTTCCTTACTTTCTATGAACTTCATCAGAGTTGAGGTTGAAAGTGGAATGTCAAATCATATGCCACAATTTGATATATCAAGATAAAGTTGACATCTTTTTGTATGTTTTATCTTATTTTTGGGAGGGGTCTATGATCTTGTTCAACCAGTTGCAACTCTTGTGTGACCGATGTCAGGCGTGGAGAGCAAGACCTCTTATGTTGTAACAACCGTGAGGAAAATTACACGATATTAATAAGAGATTATAAGAAATAAGCATGCGAAAACCAACTCGATCCAAACAAAATTAAAACTTATAGAAAAAAGTCAATCATATGACTCTTGAAGATCGTAAGTGTTTGTTGTACTACATGACATGGTTGTTGATCCAATACCAATTTTTTTTTTTTTTGGGTATCGTAGTCAAGTCCACATTTGAAAGGAGAGGAGAGTGAATGCAATGAAGAGAATTTTACTTGGTCCATTGTGATGCATTTCTCTAAGCTTCAGATAAGCTGACCATGACTATTTAAGAGGAGACCAATAGGGAGTTTTCAAAAGTCTTTTTTTCTCCCATATTGGTCATTATCTATCGGATATAAAGTCTCTCCAACATAGATAAGAGTGATATTAATATTCAAACAAATTTTCTTGTAACTTTCCTATTTTTCAAACTATAAAAAGAAAATTTTTAAAAATTTTCTTGTACATATTTCATGCTAACAAAATATATGAATATATATTATTTTTTTTCAGTTCACTTTCCACCACTTTTACTTTTTATCATTATTTTTTTTCTAATCAGACAGACCCTAAGAGATAACACTAGAGAAAATAATCAAAAAAATATATTAAATATATTAGTGATATCTCTCTGAATTGAGTTCCGTTCTTTGTCAATTGGATCTCTGATATTTCAATTTTATTTTTTGACCCTAAATTTTAAATTTATGTTTAGATAATTCGTTAATTAATCACAATTTATACCGCTCACGTGACACCCACGTGAGCGTCCGGCCAGGATAATACGGAAAGAAAAACAAAATCCGTAGGCCGTAGCCCTCTGATGATACATAAGAAGTGTATAGAAAATTTGTCCAATTCCAATACCAAGCTCCTATTTTCCTGCTAACAGCTTAAATTTGTTTGGAAAATTATACATAAGAAGTTCATGGGATGATTCCATGCATGAGAAATGTTGTGCTCACACTGACTGTCGTATTCAAGATTCAGAGTCTTATAGGAGAATTCTTGTCCAGTAGGGACCAAGGCAAGAGAAAACAGACTGAGACAGCTATAGTAAGCTTGAATGCAGACTCAAAATAACAATTTCAGTCATGCACCTCTCGACCATTGGCCTATAAGCATATAAAAATGATTCAAACATAAAATTATTATCGTAATTCATCCTCAAAATGCATAACCAAACAATAACACAGCATAAAAAGTCATCAGTACAACTTGCATCACATTTTTTCTTGACACAATCGCTTTATTAAAGTCCAAAGCCTGACACCAATATAATAGAAACATCAACTTGACTATGGTATCGAAGAAAAAATTTGTATTCTTCCTTCAAATTTTATTATTTTAATGGGTGTTTTTATAATTTTTGTAGGTCATTTTATAACCAAAATTATTTTTACTTTTGTGAGTGATTTATCACATTTGTTAATGTTTTTTTTATTATTTATGTGATAATTATTTTTATCACTTTTTCCGGTACAAAAAAAAATTATCACTTTTATGAGTAATTAATTATATTTGTGAATATTTTTACCACTGTTATGGTAGCTATATTTATTATTGTTTTCAATCCCACTACAGTGATAATTTATTTTTGCGGTATTGTAGACAAGTCCTAAAAATTGAATACTTCACTATCGCTTGAGGCGGATTAGATATGACAAACGCGGCTTCCACATCTGCAGATGCACTGGCAACCTCATGGCACTTTCGCTGCAGTCCATGGATGCCCTGCACAACTTTTCTTTTGGTTCAACGGTAAAAGATGTTTGAACTAATTTAAGTCATTATTGACTAATTATCTCTCCAATTCAATCAAAGACAATTTATTCATGTCCAAATCAGTATATTTATGAAAGATAAATCTCTTATGACTTGACCTAAAGAATTATCACAATTCAAACTAAAAAATTTTATATTTATAATTCGTCTTTATTACTATTTGAATTATTCATTCGAATTCCATTGCACACTATTAGAACAATGGTATATTTGGAACAATGGAGAAGTAAGAAGATTTGGAGAGCCACCACCAAAAACATAAATGAAAGAGACATAGAGAGGAGTAAGAGAATGATGCGCCAAGGCAAGGTGCAACCGTGCTGTGGCCGGGAAGGTTTGAAATGTTGTGGAGCCGTCGATAATGGTGTAACCAGCGGAGAGAGAGGGAGAGGGGATCCCCACACAAACCACAAAAGTTAGATGGGGGAGACGATTAAGTGTGAGACGAAGAAAAAAGACTCACAATTATTGTTATTAAAATGGTACAATTCGATTCGATTTAGTCCCTATTCAATTTGTCTCGTATTCTAGAATATGATATACTATATTTAAATCACAAGAATTATATACCATTCGATTCGAATCGAATGAATCACACAATTCACTCATGGTTCCATCCAAATTTGTCGTGTACGACTAACATCCTAAGATGGATCAAGATTTTGATTTTTGTGGAGCCTATCAACAAGTGCCACTTTCATGATTGGGCAAAACTTTCTTAATCTCCCCTCCTCCTTGGTTTCTCATCTCCTCTTCTTTGGCCTTCCCAGACCCTTATTTAGTGTTTTGAGTAATTCATATATTGTAACATTCAAATATAAAAAATAGTATCATTTAAACACACACAAAAAAAAAAGTAACATTTAAAAACAACTAAATGGTAATATTCAAAAACACAAACAAAAATAGTGATATTGAATATTAATATTTGAAAAAATGACAGTAATAACATCCTCAACAAAAATAGTAATATGCTCACAAAAACAATTATATAAACAGTAACATGGTAAAAAAAAATGGTAACATAGAAATTCTAACCCAAAAAATAATAATATTTAAAAAACATATTAACATATAATCAGTACCAATAATTCAATCTTGATAAGCATTACTTGTTCAAATACACACAGACTACTAGTAACATTCAAAACCAGAAAACAGTTACATATGTCACAAAAAATAGTAACATTTAATATTAACATTGAAAAACAATTCAATTCAATTGCACCATCGGTCACAAAATGTCGTACTGAAATAGAATGTTTACCATGACCTTATTTATTTCTCTCAACATCTCCAAGTGCAGCACTTGGGTCATAGTAACTGGTGTGACTCGGAAACGAAGTAGTAATAGTAACACACCCCTCAAATAATTTTTCTTGGCGGACTAAACTCTTTATAAGTCCATTAAAGAGAACACAACCCTAATTTTCACATGATTAAATGAGATAATAAAAAAGATTTAAGGGATTGAAATAGTCCCACTCAAAAACTTATTGTGAGTCTTCTAATCTATCAACGATATTCAAACTTCATGTATGATTCTGACCAGATCATAATAAATTGGATATTATATCTCTATATCTAAATTCATGAAATCAATAGAATCCGAAATTCAGATAATTGATACAAAAAGGTAATCCATATGAATTGACACGAATCACCTCTCAGACTCGGTTGAGATTAAGGCCATGAACTCAGTAATCATAACCAATAACAATGGGCAAAGCCGTAATCTCCATTACAGAATTAACAAGAGTGCTGTCACGTGCATAACATGTGACACTCCTGTATGTGTGAGCTATAAAATGGAACACATGAAGATGGACTAGGAAGGTGTAGGAAAGCTGAGGCAACTAACTCTGCTGCAGCCATCGCAGGTTCGCAGTCGATCAAAATTTTATTTTAAAACAGTCGAAATATGTTTTGTTTTTAAAAAGATCAAAATGAATCCGTGATTAAATCAAAATTCTAATACTTTAAAATATTGTATAATGTTTCAAGACATTTTGTTATGTTTCAATACATTCGCACAATTGTTTCAAAATGTTTTAAGATATTTTGTTATATTTTAACCAACGTTTTAAAAAAATAATTTTTAAATTCATTATTTTTTTTGTATTTCTAAAACGAATCAAAACATTTCCAAAACACATCGAAACGTTTCTATTTCCTAAATGATCAAAACAATATACCAAAACAAAATTTTGATCCTTAATATCTGTCATTTTTGAAGATGAAGAACATGATACAAACATGCAAACCCCAATGTGGTTGTCACACAATATTTTTCCTTTGGATGATTTCTTTTATTTAATTTTTCTTTTTTGGTGAAGAACAACTTCCATTACTTGACAATTGAATCTCAATATTTTTTTTAAAAGATTCTCCCCCCCCCCCCCCCCAAAAAAAAAAAAAAAAAAAAATTTACTTGACAAAGCATCAGCACGTATATTGGATGTGCGTTCCTTTAAACCCTAGTTGTGTTGGACTGAAGAGACCCACCACCAACCTTCATGCACCAAACCTGGCCACCCGTCCCAACATTAAATTCTCACCAAACTTGTACCTCCAAAAATATATTTCAATGAAGATGACTTTCAAATTAAAATTGACACTTGACTATCAACAAATTCCTAAAAACTCATTC